ATCCTCGCCGCCCTCCCGGAATCGGATGGGAGTTTGGACCGGGAGACGCTCCAGGATCGCTCCAGCTATGAGGGCACGAGGCTGGCTATTTGCTCCCCCGGAGTCGGTCCACAGCGTGGGGAAAGACGCCGGACTCCACCACCATCCGGGGTCTCCAGACGGAGCCGTGAGTACGCTTCTGCCCCTGCCCGGTGCGGCTGTTCGGACACGCCCCCGGCCAGACCACCAGTCCCGACTCCTGACGAACCGGCGCCTCCGTCGTCTGCAGGGAGAGGAGCAGCAATCGCAGCCCGGCTGATAGAGCTCCAGGCGGAGCTCGGCCGGTTCCGCGAGCTCATCAGCCTCCAGGAGTCTCACCTGGACGCTCTAACCTCCCCGAACCACCAGGAGAGGGCCTCAGGCCAGCATGCAACTTCCTCATCTCTGAGCCAGAGGAGCAAGCCCGGGGTTCACCCAGCGGAGCCCGCCGGTCTGCGGGCTGAGCTGGTCCAGCTCTGTCGGACGCTCAGCCTCAGGGAGCTACAGCTGGACGATCTGACCTCCCTCCTCTCCTCATCATTCCCAGCTCTCTCAGCAGCGGCTCTGCCACCGGCCCAGAAGCTGACGGATCGGGCCCAAAAGCCGACGGAGCGGGCCCAGAGGCAGAGGGTACCGGCCCGGAAGCAGACGGTACCGGATCCGGTCCAAAAGTCAGTGGTCCAGAAGTCGAGGGACCAGAAGCCGACTCCCCCAGGCCAGAAGCAGACGCCACCGGACCAGAAGCAGACGCTTCCGGTTCCGGCCCAGAGACCAGCGGTCCAGAGGTCGACGGTCCGAAAATCGAAGGACCAGAAGTTGATGCCCCCGGACCCGAAGCCGACGCCCCCGGACCAGAAGTCGATGGTGGACGACGCCCGGTCCGGTCCTGTGGTCGACGCCCCTTCCTGTTCTGAAGTCGACACCCTTTCCTGTTCCAAAGTCAGCATGTCTGAAGTCGGCTCGTCTGAAGTCGTCTCCCAAGTCGGCTCGTCTGAAGTCGTCTCCCAAGTCGGCTCGTCTGAAGTCGCCTCCCAAGTCGGCTCGTCTGAAGTCGCCTCCCAAGTCGGCTCGTCTGAAGTCGCCTCCCAAGTCGGCTCCCAAGTCGGCTCGTCTGAAGTCGGCTCCCAAGTCGGCTCGTCTGAAGTCGGCTCCCAAGTCAGCTCCCAAGTCGGCTCGTCTGAAGTCGTCTCCCAAGTCGGCTCGTCTGAAGTCGTCTCCCAAGTCGGCTCGTCTGAAGTCGCCTCCCAAGTCGGCTCGTCTGAAGTCGCCTCCCAAGTCGGCTCCCAAGTCGGCTCGTCTGAAGTCGTCTCCCAAGTCGTCTCCCAAGTCGGCTCGTCTGAAGTCGTCTCCCAAGTCGGCTCGTCTGAAGTCGTCTCCCAAGTCGGCTCGTCTGAAGTCGCCTCCCAAGTCGGCTCGTCTGAAGTCGCCTCCCAAGTCGGCTCGTCTGAAGTCTCCTCCCAAGTCGGCTCGTCTGAAGTCGCCTCCCAAGTCGGCTCGTCTGAAGTCGCCTCCCAAGTCGGCTCCCAAGTCGCCTCGTCTGAAGTCGTCTCCCAAGTCGTCTCCCAAGTCGGCTCGTCTGAAGTCGTCTCCCAAGTCGGCTCGTCTGAAGTCGTCTCCCAAGTCGGCTCGTCTGAAGTCGCCTCCCAAGTCGGCTCGTCTGAAGTCGCCTCCCAAGTCGGCTCATCTGAAGTCGCCTCCCAAGTCGGCTCCCAAGTCGGCTCGTCTGAAGTCGTCTCCCAAGTCGTCTCCCAAGTCGGCTCGTCTGAAGTCGTCTCCCAAGTCGGCTCGTCTGAAGTCGGCTCCCAAGTCGGCTCGTCTGAAGTCGGCTCCCAAGTCAGCTCCCAAGTCGGCTCGTCTGAAGTCGTCTCCCAAGTCGGCTCGTCTGAAGTCGTCTCCCAAGTCGGCTCGTCTGAAGTCGCCTCCCAAGTCGGCTCGTCTGAAGTCGCCTCCCAAGTCGGCTCGTCTGAAGTCGCCTCCCAAGTCGGCTCCCAAGTCGGCTCGTCTGAAGTTGTCTCCCAAGTCGTCTCCCAAGTCGGCTCGTCTGAAGTCGTCTCCCAAGTCGGCTCGTCTGAAGTCGCCTCCCAAGTCGGCTCGTCTGAAGTCGCCTCCCAAGTCGGCTCGTCTGAAGTCGCCTCCCAAGTCGGCTCCCAAGTCGGCTCGTCTGAAGTCGTCTCCCAAGTCGGCTCGTCTGAAGTCGTCTCCCAAGTCGGCTCGTCTGAAGTCGCCTCCCAAGTCGGCTCGTCTGAAGTCGCCTCCCAAGTTGGCTCGTCTGAAGTCGCCTCCCAAGTCGGCTCCCAAGTCGGCTCGTCTGAAGTCGTCTCCCAAGTCGTCTCCCAAGTCGGCTCGTCTGAAGTCGTCTCCCAAGTCGGCTCGTCTGAAGTCGTCTCCCAAGTCGGCTCGTCTGAAGTCGTCTCCCAAGTCGGCTCGTCTGAAGTCGTCTCCCAAGTCGGCTCGTCTGAAGTCGTCTCCCAAGTCGGCTCGTCTGAAGTCGTCTCCCAAGTCGGCTCGTCTGAAGTTGCCTCCCAAGTCGGCTCGTCTGAAGTCGCCTCCCAAGTCGGCTCGTCTGAAGTCGCCTCCCAAGTCGGCTCGTCTGAAGTCGCCTCCCAAGTCGGCTCGTCTGAAGTCGCCTACCAAGTCGGCTCGTCTGAAGTCGCCTCCCAAGTCGGCTCGTCTGAAGTCGCCTCCCAAGTCAGCTCCCAAGTCGGCTCGTCTGAAGTCGGCTCGTCTGAAGTCGGCTCCCAAGTCGGCTCGTCTGAAGTCGGCTCCCAAGTCGGCTCGTCTGAAGTCGGCTCCCAAGTCAGCTCCCAAGTCGGCTCGTCTGAAGTCGGCTCCCAAGTCGGCTCGTCTGAAGTCGCCTCCCAAGTCGGCTCGTCTGAAGTCGCCTCCCAAGTCGGCTCGTCTGAAGTCGCCTCCCAAGTCGGCTCGTCTGAAGTCGCCTCCCAAGTCGGCTCGTCTGAAGTCGCCTCCCAAGTCGGCTCGTCTGAAGTCGCCTCCCAAGTCGGCTCCCAAGTCGGCTCGTCTGAAGTCGTCTCCCAAGTCGGCTCGTCTGAAGTCGTCTCCCAAGTCGGCTCGTCTGAAGTCGTCTCCCAAGTCGGCTCGTCTGAAGTCGTCTCCCAAGTCGGCTCGTCTGAAGTCGGCTCCCAAGTCGGCTCGTCTGAAGTCGTCTCCCAAGTCGGCTCGTCTGAAGTCGTCTCCCAAGTCGGCTCGTCTGAAGTCGCCTCCCAAGTCGGCTCGTCTGAAGTCGCCTCCCAAGTCGGCTCCCAAGTCGCCTCCCAAGTCGCCTCGTCTGAAGTCGGCTCCCAAGTCGGCTCGTCTGAAGTCGCCTCCCAAGTCGGCTCGTCTGAAGTCGGCTCGTCTGAAGTCGGCTCGTCTGACGTCGACGCCTCCTCTGATGTCTCCTCGTCTGAGGATGCTCTCTGCACTCCAGAGGTTGACGCTCCTTCCAGGCCAACGTCTCCACCGTCTCCGGTTCCGATGAGGGTTCTGAAGGTCACTCCGGCCCAGCCTGCAGAGACGTTGTCACCGGCCCAGCCTGCAGAGACTTTGTCAGCGGCCCAGTCTGCAGAGCTCCTCTATCGTAGACGCAGGCCCCCAAGGGTCCGTCCTTGTCTCCTCCTCTGCAGCAGGCGCCGGCCTCCAGAGGCCCGTCGCCTCCTCATCTGCCGTAGGCGCAGGCCCCCGGACTCTGCTGATCCCTGCCGCCTCTCCATCGGTCCCTCGGGGCCCTCCTTCCGGGTCCCCCTCCTCCCGCCCTGTTCCTTGTTCCTGTGGGCGTCTGGGATCCGCCCTTTGAGGGGGTGGGGGTGGGGGGGGGTGTTACTGTCACACCCTGTCCGGTCTCCCTGTTTAGTTCAGCTCTGTGTCTCGTTAATTACTCCCACCTGCCTCTTGTTTCCCAATCACCTTAGCTCCCGGTCCTCCTGTATTTAAACCCTGTGTGTTTTGTGGCCTGTGTTGAGTCATTGTTTCATTGTCCAGCATGCTTCCTAATAAATCTGTGAAGCGAATCCTACCTGTCTGCCTGCTTCCTTCCCGGTCTGGATCCTCGCCTTAGCTCCGCTCCACTCCGCAGCACGTCGTGACAAATTTCTAGTTCTGAAGCTTGCTAAAGGGCAATTCCAACTAAATCTGCTACTCTTTACGTTTTTCTAATCACCTGTAATTATAAAACTACAATACTTGGACTCTTCGAACCTGGACTAGTTTTGTTTCGACCAATAGCAGAGTCCTTAAAACAGCTGATGATTTGTGAAATCTTTATTTGATTTGTGAAAGTTCCACGAAGTCCATTTTCTTCACTTTTTTATTTTGAGATGGATTATCATATCATGAGCATACTTTCTTTCAGCACTAAACGTTAATGTCAATAAAAAGATCATCCATATTAGGAGTTCTGATTGATAACCCAGGAAATAAAACTTTCCATGTTTCTGTGGCGTATAGAATTAAAACTTTATTTTTCAAATAAAGTTCAATAAAGAAAAAGTTCCAAATGAAGGTTTCACAATTCACCAACTGAATATTATGGATTCTGATATGTAGAATAATCTAGTCTAGGTGGTGTAGTTTTGCAAATAGAGACAATTAAAAGTGCTTTTAAAGTCGAAAAGTTGGAATTGCCCTTTAGCAAATGTCATAATCGACAATTCTGTCGGCATGTGCATTGTGCAATAGGGGTTAATAAGTATGCTGAATACATGGGGGCACCTTTTTCTCAAGAAGTGTTGACATGTTATATGTTGTCATGGCTACGCTTATCATTCAGATTGTAAAAGTAAATAAAAGTTAAATTTTACACGGCTGTTTTCAGGTGTAGATGACAAAGGGTGACTGTATACTTAAGAGCAATGTCCGCAATGATTTTCTCCTCTCTGTTCAGATTCTGCACTCACAGATTCAGCTGTCTGGAAGGACTCAAACACCATCGAACATGGAAACAATGCAGTACAATTTTATTTCAGTGGCATCGGTAAGTCATTCTTTACAAATAACCACACTGTACCATAAATTACTTACAGATGTCTTTAACTTGAAAAAGAACCAGGATATTGAGGTTTTTATTCCCAAATCATACCAGGGCGTTTGTGGAATGGTGGCTTGAATGACAATAGATATCTATCAGTGTGGTGCCATTGCAATGAAGGGTTGACAATGAGTTCAATAAAATGTTTCTCTTTCTTTTTTATTACAGTCATTGTGTATATTACAAATGCTATCACTCAAGTGGCTGAAACATATGGAAGCGTATGTGTAACACGAAACAGAGAATAAAGAACAGAGATGGACAGTAGCAGCTGGACGCTCTATGGCTTTTTAGCATCAAGAGCCCTCTAAGGGAAAGAATTGCCCTGAAGGAAAAAGAAAAGGAGCACACAGCAGATGACATTGTTGACAGGAGGCAGTAGAAGTAGCTCAACAGGTTGAGCGGGCTGTCCAGTAATCGGAAGGTTGCAGGTTAAATCCCGGCTCCGGACAGAGAATTCTGCTGTTGTGTCCTTGGGCAAAACACTTAACCCACCTTGCCTGCTGGTGGTGGTCGGAGGGACCGGTGGCGCCTCTGTCAGTGCGTCCCAGGGCAGCTGTGGCTACATCGTAGCTCATCACCATCAGTGTGTGAATGTGCGTGTGAATGGATGAATGATACACTGTAGTGTAAAGCGCTTTGGAGTCCGTACTCTGAGAGGCGCTATACAAGTGCGGGTCATTTATCATTAATTCAGTTGTGCTGACATATGTTTAAAGGTCAACTTTACTAATTTTTTTATACATTTGTAGTGGTTGGAATGAATGCCTTGTAAGTCATACTCTGGGGGAAAAAGCTCCATTGTGCCTGTTTGAGAACACAGAAGTCAGCTGGAGGAGAGAGCGACAGAACATGAGAAGATCTGAACTGTTATTTCCTAATATTTGGCCATCTTTCCTCTGATTGGATAACGGGAACACAAATTTATCATTAATTCCATTTGCTTTGTAATGTTGATGTTTTTTCTCCACAAAAAAAAAAACACAAGCATGGAGGAGTTCTGCTGTGTGGTGGAGTTGCTAATGATTAGCTTCTGCTAGTAGGAGCGTTCTCTGCTGTTTCCTGGGTGTTAAACCAACAACAGCCTCCCCCGTCATGAGTCAAGATAAGTGAGTCCTTGAATGTTGAAGCTGCAATAGCAACTTTGGAAAACAAATTAGCTAAAGTATTTTTGTAATGCCTCTTAACATTCTAACATATTCTAGCTATAAATCTATTGTAGAGATTGAAAAAAAAGTAAAGTGGTTCCCTCGCATTTGTTTAAAAACCCCACCAGTAACTCGGTTCGGACCACCTGGTTGTCGATTTCACTGAACCTCTGCACTTCCCCGGGTCCTCCATTCATTACACGCTCACATATTCATCAACAGAACATCACTGGTGTGAGAGGTTCTCTGCTCAATAATATCAGACAAGGAGAAACAGCTACCACTTCAGCTTTTTGAACAAACTACCAGAGTACCAAAAAGAAAAGCACCATTTGAAGTCAACAACAGATGTTTGGACATAGAAAATGGCAACTGGTGCTTAGCGTGGCTCATTCCCTCTGGCAACATGAGTTTTTGGTTCCGGGGGAAGCGTCTCAGGGAAGATACCCGAGGGGTGGGGTGAGTGTTCCGTGACCGTGATTGCGTTCAGAACCTAGCTTGTTTGCAGATTCGCGATAGCAGCTGTGACAGTGTGACATAGGTCTGTCTGTCGGAAGCTAATGCAGAAACTAGTCGCTCAGAGTGACCAATTATAATCCGAAATAATAATAAAAAATGGTTTTTGGTGAAGTTGACCTTTAAAGTTGGGAATAGAAGCAAAAACAAAGTAGCTGCTAATTAAAATATAATAAAAATAATCTGATATCTTCAAGTCTCACTGTTAGGGATTTTATCATTAAACCCATTTCCTGCAGTCGAAGAGAAAAGCAGAGACAGTAAACAGACAAGCCATCAACTTGCAATCTGGGCAGAAGCTCAAAGGCAACTGCCCCAAGCTTCTGGTCTGAGAGTTTATTTATACAAGAACAAAAGATAAGATGTGAGAGGGAGGGAGTGTGTGTGTGTGTGTGTGTGTGTGTGTGTGTGTGTGTGTGTGTGTGTGGGAGTGAGGTCTCAGTGGAGAGAGACAGTGTGTGTGTGTGTGTGTGTGTGTGGGTGTGTCTGACTGTGAATATGCTTCCAGGCATAAGGTACCGTAATTTCCGGACTATAGAGCACACCACAGTATAAGCCGCACCAGCAAGCAGCAAGCCGCGGCGCAGCAGCCACATGCAGGTCTCCGGCACACAGCGCATGTATGGCCATAACATAAGATAATTAGACAGAAAGACGCTACACGGAGCTTTTTCTTTGTTGTTTTAATTCAACAAAACAAATTTTAAACACGGGTGAACGTGCCTGCAAGTTTGGAAAAGAAAACAGCACTGTTGTTGTCATCATCCCCGGGTGAAGCTGGCTTGAATGAGTTCTTCCCGCTGCCGTCTCCAGCACCGAACCATGGATTCATTCATGCCAAACTTATGTGCAGCAGCACTGATTCCCTCCTTTACTGCCAGATCGATGGCCTTCAACTTAAATGCGGCATCATATGAACTCATACATGTAGTTACCATCATGAGGGGGTATGGATTTGAAAAAAAATTCTTCATCGTGCCGGCTGCTTGCATGTGCTAAATTAAAATGAGCACTTTCTTCAGTTTCCACTTTTGACTTCCACCTGTTTCACTTTCTGCTAAAGCGCCCCCTGGTGGCAGGGGAAGGAAATTCTTCAGTAAAGCCGCACCTCATTATAAGCCGTATGGTTCAAAGCGTGGGAAAAAAGTAGAGGCTTATAGTCCGGAAAATACGGTAATACATGAGTTAATAGGATTAAAGTAATGAAACATAAAAATTCTATAACACTCACTTGAAAGTACAGAGAACAATAAAGATTGACAACATTGGTTCTACAGAACTTTAGGCAAAGATTTTCATTCATCTACTTTGGATATGTTCTTTTATTTCTGTAAAATAAAACTATTTTATAAATATTTATTCTCAGACACAGATAAGCTCAAGATTTAAGCTCAAGAGACTGAGCTAAACTGGGCAGACTTGTCTGATTTTATCGACTGTCTTATTGGGCTTCAAAGTTCACTTGGCAAACCGCGTTGTGTGCCTTTACAGTTAAATAGTTTTCACTAAATACCTGTCAGTGGCAGGAACTAATCAGCTTTCTATCCATGTGCATATGTCAGAAAACTGTTGTCTCTTTCAGGTCTCTTCATGTGGACAGTGTCCCTCACAAGCCCTCACTCACCACCAGCTATGTCCATGGCACCTCCTCTGCCTCTCTGCTTGCCCTGACTGTTGGACAGAGCTTGGACACCACGGTCCAACGCTGTCCTGACAGAGAAGCTGTGGTTTTTCTGCAGGATGGCATACGGAAAACCTTTGCACAATTTCAGCAAGATGTGGGTATCAGATTTGATGCTTTTAGACTGCTTTATTCACAGACATGGATCTGTTTGAGATAACAATCAAGTTGAATAATTGATCCTTTGCTGTCAGTAAAGCATGTAACTTTTGTTCAGGTTGACAAGGTGGCTGCAGGTCTGCATGCTCTTGGTTTGAAGCAAGGTGATCGACTAGGAATCTGGGGACCAAACGTGTATGAATGGATCCTTTTCCAGTTTGCATCAGCCAAGGCTGGAATCATAATGGTCACCATTTTACTACAATGTTTTTATATTGCCTCATATTTTTTAGATAATGTTTGTGGAATATGTCATAAATATGTCCAGCAAATTAATTCGTCTTTCATTTGGGTCCATTCTTGTAGGTGTCTCTAAACCCAGCATATGAGCTGGAAGAAGTAGAATTTACTTTGCGAAAGGTAGCCCGTCTCATTCTGTAGTACTTAGAAAAAAATTTAAATTTTAATCTATAAAGAGCATAAAGCTTGATATTTATATAATATAATAGCATTCATTTTTTGTGTTTAGGTCCAGTGTAAAGCAGTTTTGTGTCCCACCCGCTTTAAAACTCAGAACTATTGTGAGATGCTGAGGGAGATCTGTCCAGGAACCGACTCGATGCCGGTCAGCATGACCAGAAGTTCCAGGTTTGACTGTGTTACAGTTCAAAATGATATATTGTTCTTATTTGTGCTAGAGACCCTCAGTACTGGCTGCAGCATTGATAATCTGTTTTTGGGCCTGACAGGGTGCCGGACTTGCGGATGATAATTGTGACTGACAGCAGACAGCCAGGGATGCTCCATGTGGAAGATGTGATGCAGGCTGGGGAAAGTAGACACTATAAGGAGCTGATGGGCATACAGAACAAGCTTTCATTTGATGATCCCATCAACATTCAGTTCACATCAGTAAACTTTCTAAATGCCCTCTTTGCACCTTGTTTTTGCTTGGACTCAGGCTGATTTGGAATGATCTGGTTCTAGGGAACCACTGGGAAGCCAAAGGGAGCCACTCTTTCCCACCACAACATTGTCAACAACGCTTATTTCCTGGGTCTGCGTGTAGGTTATGATTGGAGAGTAAGTCTACATTTGTTCCTAAACTTGTAGTTAAAGGGAGATTCCACCCAAAATGAAATGTGGTCTGCTGACACATTTCCTAGAGTTAGATAAGTGGGAAAAAATAGTTTTAACCAGCTCAGTCATTCTCCTGACCCAACTGCACTCCTTTAGCTTTAGCTTAGCATAAAACACAGTAAGTGAATAGATCCAACTAGCACTGAGTAAAAACGTCCTTAAAATCTTTCAGGAGTGATCCCAATTCTGCTTGGTGACCTAAATAATCAGACTTGCTGCAAGTGAAAATAATTAGTAACATAAAGGAATCACAGGCGCCATTTTAGACTTGGGGCTACTTTATGAAAAAGCACAGCTGTAAGCCTCCGCTGAAACAGCAGAGGGAGTGTGTGAACCAGTCAATGACCAGCCGAGGGCTGCTAGTCCCTAGCGTCAAAGTCAAAGTCAAAGTCCCATTAGTTGTCACCAGTGGCGGGCGGTGCATTCCACCCCTGGGCCTTCAGTGATTTCCTATTCAGTCCAATCTAAATTAACACACCTTAGAATACCATCAATAGGACATCACAGCTGGAGAAACCTCTCTCTCTCTCTCTCTCACACACACACACACACACACACACACACACACACACACACACACACACACACACACACACACACACACACACACACACACACACACACACACACACACACACACACACACACGCACACACACACACACACACACACACCAGTGGCTGGGCAAGACGTCATTTCCAGAGCCTTTAAAATCAAACTCGCATTCCCAGTTGAGAGTAGGAAACTAAGACCACGGATACCGTCAAATCTCAAAAATGAAAGATGGGTTTAAGAGATGAGACAATAAAATAAATAAGTAAAGCAAACACATTATTTGCATTTGTTTTGGAGAAAATTGCACCGCGAAACATTTGAACATGTTGGCGCAGCTGCACACACCACGTCATTCACAATATAAATTGCATAGAAACAGAACACATAGAATTATTTCATTTAGCCATTTTATTTCGTTACCATTTATTATTAACAAAATGAAATGACAAAACATTAAAAAATACTAATAAAATGTTTCTACTCACCAACATAAATGTCCAGCATGGATCTCCTCCTCTCCTGCTCATTAGAAAATAAAATCCATCCTTCTTTCTTTCCTCAGGAAAACCTCAGTGGCTCTGTACAGTTTACCTGTGTGCTTCAGGTCCATGAGTGGATCCTTTTCTATGGACATGGAGGCTAATGCTGAAAGTCGTGTCTGTCCGGTCGTGTTTCTGGCGTACGTTTTAACGCGCTTTAATGCTACCAAATCCATCTGATGCGAGCAACAGGCATTCCCAGCAGAATAACCTGCAGCGGTTCTCTGAAGCTGTTAGCCGTGGGTACCGTTCATAGTTGCTTGCCTGAAAATGACGAACAAATCCTTTCTCCTGCTGGGACAAGCCAGCTAGCGTTGGAGTCGGACGACCTGTTCTCACAAGATCCATTTTTTCTTGAAAGGTCCGTCTGGAAAATGGTGTGGCAAGTAAATCTGCATCCAAGTCTGCCTCTTCTCCTCTTTCAGCCATCAGGTGTTCAAAAATACACCGATAGCTGCCTATAGATACAAATCTCTGTGTTTAGTTTTGATATTTTGCTTCATGCCACTAGAAAAGTTCTAACTACTGCTTATCCAATCACAGGATGCGTTCATGTCAACTTTTGCGTGAGGCCAGCTAGCTGGCCTGGGCCACGCTGACTCGTGAGCTGATTGGCTATCGCAACTAGATCGTCTCTGTTCACTTACAGCGGACAGCGGGCTTCTCGATTGATTCTGAAGGCCTAGGGCAGACTTAATCTGCCTGAAAACACAAGCTAGCTTAAATCTGATTGGATACCACCCAGCCTTGGTATTTTAACACTGGAAGCAGCTCAGCCAAGTGGGTATAATAGGATATAAAGAAAATAGACCAGTGAACATTTTTTGTTTTTTAATATTTACCAAAGGAAAAAATATATATTTACGTTTTTGAGTACGTTTAGGCCAGCAGAGAAGGCTTTGCTGGCCCTAACTGCCCACCACTGGTTGTCACACACACTAATGTGTGAGCGAAATTTGTTCTCCGCATTTGACCCATCCCCTGGGGGAGCGGTGAGCTGCAGACACGGCCGCGCTCGGGAACCATTTGGTGGTTTAACCCCCCAATCCAACCCCCTTAATGCTGAGTGTCAAGCAGGGAGGCATTGGGTCCCATTTTTTCAAAGTCTTTGGTATGACCCGACCAGGAATCGAACCCTGATCTCCCAGTCTCAGGGCAGACACTCTACCACTAGGCCACTGAGCCGGTAAAGGTGCTATTTCTCAGTAAGCAGCACCAGCCTCTCAGTTATCAGCGCCAGCTTATCATTAATCAGATTGATAGTTTGCTTCGGAATTTATATAGCCTCCTGCTGCTGGGCAGTAGTCTTAATTTTGGCCCTCATACTGCGCCATACATTATTAGGAGACAAGGAAAGCAGATTCACAGAGCAGCTGCTGCTCCGTATTTGCATGTGTGTGTGTGTGTGTGTGTGTGTGTGTGTGTGTGTGTGTGTGTGTGTGTGTGTGTGTGTGTGTGTGTGTCGTGTGTGTGTGCGTGTGTGTGTGTGTGTGTGTGTGTGTGCACTGATTCCCACACATGCGGAAGTTGAACTAATCATGTTTTAAAAATAAATCGGAGGTCTTGCTGTTTAACACATCTATCAGAAATCTTCAAAGAAAAGTGAAAACTTGAAGCTGCATTCCGTACATGTGCATGACTGTATGCATGTTTTATGTCGGTTCACTAACAACTTGTGCATCTGTGATTACATTACGCAGGCGTATTTGGCGCTGCCTTGCAGCTTTCAGCGGAGGCTTACAGCTGTGCTTTGTCCTAATGTAGTCCCAAATTTAAAATGGTGCCTGTGATTATTTTATGTTACTAATTATTTTCACTTGCAGTCAGTCTGATTGTTTAGGTCACCAAGCTGAATTGGGATCACTACTGGGTGATTTTAAAGGCTTTTTTAAATTACAATGCCAGTTGGATCCATTCACTTACCTGCTGTGTTTTACGCTAAGCTAAAGCTAAAGGAGTTTGCAGGGTCAGGAGAATGGCTGGTTAATAACTGTGTTTTCTCCACTTATCTAACTCTGGGAATATGTCAACAGAAAATTTTCAATAATGGGTGTGATATCCCTTTTAAGGTGGAATATGGAACATTTTAAATAAAAGCTAAATAAAATAAGAAATTCCTCCACGGGGCGTTTAGAGGCGTGCAGAATAAATGTACAGTTTCTTATAGAAAATCTATATTTAAAAAAATAAATAATCAAAATTTTATTTTGACGGGCACGACACTGGGATTATGTTTACGTCTACCAGATAATAGGGGCACCATTGCGGTAAAAAGTTCGTTTGGCAGTGCGAGGGTGGGACTGTGTAAAATGGTGGACTCGTTAAGTCAAGCAGATGCTTCTGAACCCAGAAGTTGTTCAAACAGTAAATACTGTTGCAAACTAAACATATTAGTAGAAATTTGTCCCTACCTTGAACGACTTATATGGTGCTGGTTGGTCACTTCACGCATCATCAATGAACCAACACCCCAACGGCTGGAAAATGTGTTCCATTGTTGCACTACCACCTCTAAACACTAGATGTCGCTATAGTGTCTGTGTTTCATATTCAACATTGAAATATAAAAATAAGGCATAAATGAGCTCCTGTTCATTATTCATCAGCCTCAGGTACGAGTGTGTGTTCCCGTGCCGATGTACCACTGTTTTGGCTCCGTAATCGCAGCGATGAGTATGGCAGTTCACGGAATCACGCTGGTCTTCCCTTCCTCCAGCTACAACAGCCGTGCCAATCTAGAGGCCATCCAGAATGAAAGGTGTGATGCTCGTGGCTACCAGATTCACAGTAACACAAGTTTTCATTGATAGACAATCTTCTCTCTTTTTTGCAAGGTGCAATTTTGTCTACGGGACTCCCACCATGTATACGGACTTGCTCAACCAAGATTTGCACCAGTATAATTTGTCATCAGTTGAAGCTGGTAGGTGATCTGCAGACAAGATAACGTTTATTTTATCTTTTGGTGCCATTTGCTGCTCGGTTTAGGACTAATGGGAGGTTCTCCGTGCCCGCCTGAGGTTCTCAGGAAGCTCAAAACAGAAATGAACATGAGAGAGATAACAGTGAGCATGTTTTACATCTCCTCAAACATCATAGAAGACTTAACTGTACGGAAAATGAACACATCATCCTTTTCGTCCCCACAGATTCTTTATGGAACCACTGAAAATAGTCCCGTTACGTTCCTGGGATTTCCTGAAGACAACGAGGAGATGAAGATAAACACAGTTGGGTGTATCATGCCTCACACCGAGGTGTGTCTTCGTTTTCCCACGCTTTTAACTCCTGTTGCTGCAACCAGGCTACACAATGTGTTCTAACTTTAGGCCAAGGTGGTGGATCCTGTCACAGGGGACATTGTGACTGTGGGAGCATCAGGAGAGCTCATGATCAGAGGCACCTGTGTGATGTCTGGGTACTGGGATGATCCTGGGAAGACTAAAGAGGTGATCTCCAGGGATCGCTGGTACAGAACTGGGTGAGATAGATTTGTACTCATCACTTTACAGCAGAGGTCCGTTTTCCCAGTGGAACACGCTGTTTACAACTGTAGTCTATTCAGTGACACAGCGAGCCTGAACAGTCTGGGATACTGCCGCATCGAGGGACGCATAAAGGACATGATCATCCGTGGAGGGGAAAATATTTACCCTGCTGAGATAGAACAATTTCTCTACAGGCACCCAAAGGTCATGGAGGTGCAGGTGAGAGTTTACACCACTAGAGAGCAGCAAAGAAAAACCATCAAACTCTAAACTTGTCTATTTTTGTGTGGCAGAATCACAACATATTTACTTTCCCATACTGGCAACATCCCACTGACCATTAGAGTGAGTGATCTGTTTTTCTGCCTCCAGGTGGTTGGCGTAAAAGACGAGAGGCTTGGTGAGCAGGTGTGTGCCTGCATCAGGCTCAGGCAGGGACAAACCTCCACAGCACAGGAGATAAGAAGCTTCTGCAAAGGCAAAGTAAGAGCAGAGGAGGGATAAACATTGAAATGTGCCAAAATATTCTGAGTTTCTACACAGTTGGATAGTCTACACCATTTTTATTTTTTCCTTTAGATTTCCCACTTTAAGATCCCTCACTATGTGATTTTTGTGCACAACTACCCGCTCACTGTCTCGGGAAAGGTAGGACACTCAGAACATATGCAGTTATACAGACGTGGACTAAAGTGTTGCTACCTTTTGGTCAATGAAAGAAAAACCCACAATGGTCACAGAAATAACTTGAATCTGACAAAAATAATAAATGAAACTTCTATGAAATTTAACCAATGAAAGCCAGACATTGCTTTTCGACCACGCTTCAACAGAATTATTTAAAATAATACACTCATGGAACAGGTCTGGAAGAATATGATGGTACTCCTAACTTAATTATTTTATTATTATTAATTTTTTTTGCACAACTAATTTGAGGCAATCATTGCAATCTAACAATTCCTGTACCTGTCATTGAGACTTCTGTACCTCTCTGCAGGTATTTTGGCCCCCTTGTCATGAGCAATCAATAAATCAATCACTCAATGAATGAATGAATCAATCAATCAATCAATCAATCAATCAGATTTATTTATGAAGCACTTTTCAAACTAAGTGCTTTACAAAATGACCCCAGATTCCCATAACAGGTTAAAAACATTAACAGACATTTGCAAGCACACGCGCACACGCGCACACGCACACACACACACACACGCACACACACACACACACACACACACACACACACACACACACCACACACAAATTATATTTGGCTGAGTCCAGATGAGCCAAGTAAGATAAGGCAAGGAATGCTTCAGTTGTCTGATTTGAAGGGCACCTTTTCCAGACCGCATGTTTCAGCTCCTTCCAAAGATGCTCAATTGGACTGAGGTCAGGGCTCATAGAAGGTCCCTTTTAGAATAGTCCAGTGTTTTCCTCCTAGCCATTCTTGGGTGTTTTTAGCTGTGTGTTTTGGGTCATTGTCCTGTTGAAAGACCAAGCTTTCTGACACTGGCCAGCACATTTCTCTCTAGAAGTCCTTGTCAGTCTTGAGATTTTGTTGGACCCTGTATAGATTCAAGACACCCTGTGCCATTTTTTTCTCATCTGTCCATAGGACATTCTCCCAGAAGCTTTGTGGCTTGTCAACATGTAGTTTGGCATATTCCAGTCTGGCTTTTGATGATTTGATTTCAACAATGGTGTTCTCCTTGGTCGTCTCCCATGTAGTCCACTTTGGGTCAAACAACGATCTGACACTGATGTTGAGCTTGAAGTTCACCTTGGAACTTGTTAGAAGTTTTTCTGGACTCTTTTTCTACCATCCAGATTATACGTCTCTTTGATTTGTTATCAATTTCCCTTCAGGGGCCACGTCCAGGGAGGTTGGCTACAGTCCCATGGATCTTAGAAGTCTGAATAAAATGTGCAGCTGCAGACACATCTGGCTGCTTGGAGAGGGTCTCATAGCCTTTACCTTTAACATGGTCGTTTAAAATTTTCTTTCTAATCTCCTGAGACAACTCTTTCCTTTGCTTCCTCTGGTCCATGTTGAGTGTGGTACACACCATGTCACCTAACAACACAGTGACTACCTGGAGCCCTATACACAGTGCTCAGCATAAATGAGCACACCTCACATTTGTCAAAAAACCTTTAGTTTCCTTTCAGAATCAACATTTTCTGTGAGATACAAAACTACAAAATATTCCCACAAATGTGGGCGGTTGATTACAAACAAGATTTTTTTTATTTGCACAAACAAAAAAAGTCATCGTCGTCGTCGTCTTCGTCTTCGCTTATCCGGGTCCGGGTCGCGGGGGCAGCATCCGAACTAGGGGAGCTCCAGACTGTCCTCTCCCCGGCCTTCTCCACCAACTCCTCTGGCAGGACCCCAAGGCGTTCCCGGACCAGATTGGAGATATAACCTCTCCAACATGTCCTGAGTCGACCTGGGGGCCTCCTGCCGGCAGGACATGCCCGAAACACCTCCCCGGGAGGCGTCCAGGAGGCATCCTGACCAGATGCCCAAACCACCTCAACTGACTCCTTTCGATCTGGAGGAGCAGCGGTTCTACTCCGAGTCCCTCCCGAATATCCGAGCTCCTCACCCTATCTCTAAGACTGAGCCCGGCTGACCTACAGAGGAAACTCATTTCGGCTGCTTGTATCTGCGATCTCGTTCTTTCGGTCATTACCCAAAGCTCATGACCATAGGTGAGGATTGGGACGTAGATCGACCGGTAAATCGAGAGCCTGGCTTTCTGGATCAGCTCCCTCTTCCCCACGACAGATCGGCTCAGCGTCCGCATCACTGCAGATGCTGAACCAATACGCCTGTCGATCTCCCGATCCCTCCTACCCTCACTCGTGAACAAGACCCCGAGATACTTAAACTCCACTTGAGGTAGGACCTCTCCCCCGACCCGGAGTTGGCAAGCCACCCTTTTCCGGTCGAGAACCATGGTCTCAGATGTGGAGGTGCTGATCCTCATCCCAGCCGCTTCACACTCGGCCGTGAACCTACCCAGCAAGAGATGAAGGTCAGAGCTGGATGAAGCTAGGAGGACCACATCATCCGCAAAAAGCAGAGACGAGATTCTCCTGCCACCATACTCGACACACTCCACACCACGGCTGCGCCTAGAAATTCTGTCCATAAAGCTAATGAACAGAACCAGCCGTATGTTTTGGACACCCGAGTGAAGAGAGGAGCGGAGCTGTCAACTGATCACCACCTGGTGGTGAGTTGGATCAGATGGCAGGGGAAGGTGCCGCGTAGACAGGGTCCGAAATTAACACTCGCCACTCGCCAAATGCGAGCAAATTGCTCCATTTGGCGAGTAAATTTTTGAGCTCTACCTGCCACCTGGCGAGTAAATGTTTGCACCAAATGAGTTATGTTTATCAGTCATCTTCCATGGATTTCTGATACTCCTCCCGCCTGCATGCAACGTACACAAACGTACGCGAAACGTGAGCGCCACATCCAACGTCATTTCCACCTATCCCATTCAATCAGTTTATCAAGTTAGCAGTTAGCTTCGTGTTATAACTAGCGGTGAAATGTGGCGGTTTTTAACTGGAGTCAGCCAGCCTTCCAAAAGAAAACTCGTCGAACTGGAAGAAAAACCACCAGGACCAGTGGCAACCAGAAGATTTTGTGAAAAGTGGCGAACTGGAGATGGTGGAGTCATGAGACAATGGCTACATTATGATGGCCTCGTAGCATTGCTGCCTTTCACAGACACTTTTTCTGCACGTGCTGCAAACAGGATAGCCGTCTTCTATCAACTGTCCCTCGGCATTCTTCAGATATCCCAAAAAAAAAAAAGCCCGTACTTCCCACTTAGTCTTCTTTGAGGGATAATAAATGTCCTGCGCACTGCCGTCTCCTCCGGCCATTATTTCAGCTTTAGCTTAAAGAAAGTTTTGGTTGTAAACAACAAAGTGCGCATGTGCCGCCGGCAACTTCAGATGATACGGTGGCTGGTAAGGGTCACCGCGCCTACACCGCAGTCACGGTAATCCACCAAGATTATATATATATATTTTAAAAACAAGACGGTTATTATTATTGTCAACTTTTTAACGGGGTTTACTGCTACACCGGTTACCGTGACAACCCTAGCCCTGACACACTTTCAGATATTCTCATGCTGCAGCTGTGTTCTCCAGAGATCAAGGACTAGGACCCAAATGAGGCTGTAATGCTTTGGCACAAAGACTGTCAGAAGCAGGAGGCCAGACTTCATGGACAGAGAAAACAAGGAGTCTGACTAGATTTCAATGAAAGAGTTCATAAAAACATCTCTAAAAATAAATAAATAAATAGTAAAAATGACAAAAGAGTTGTTTTTCTTATTAGTTGACGTTTTAATTATTTTGTCACTCTGTTTGGAATCAACATAATATAGAATTACATGCTTTTGGTAGATCTAAATCATTTAGAATTTTGGCCGGTAAAAAATATGCTTGGCCGGTAGATTTTCATCATCTACCAGCCAACTTGGCCGATGAGTAAAAAATTTAATTTCGGACCCTGCGCGTAGACCTGGCAGACCCAAACGCATAGTGAGGGTCTGCTGGGAACACCTGGCAGAAGAACCTGTTAAGACGGTCTTCAACTCCCACCTCCGGCAGAGCTTTGACCACGTCCCGAGAGCAGCGGGGGACATTGACTCCAAGTGGGCCTTGTTCTATTCTGCGATTGTTGAGGCGGCTGTTGCTAGCTGTGGTCGTAAGGTGGCCGGTGCCAGTCGTGGTGGCAACCCCCGTACCCGCTGGTGGACACCAGAGGTTCGGGGAGCCGTCAGGCTGAAGAAGGAGGCCTACAGAGCGTGGCTGGTCTGTGGGTCTCCGGAGGCAGCTGACAGGTACCGGATAGCCGAGCGGGGTGCAGCAGTGGAAGTTGCCGAGGCAAAATCTCGGGCGTGGGAGGAGTTTGGTGAGGCCATGGAGAAAGACTATCGATCGGCGCCAAAGAGGTTCTGGCAAACTGTCCGGCGCCTCAGGAGAGGAAGGCAGCAACTCGCTCCCACTGTTTACAGTGGGGATGGGGAGCTGCTGACGTCAACTGGGGCTATAGTCGGACGTGGAAGGAATACTTTGAGAAGCTCCTCAATCCCACCTACGCGCATTCCGAGGAGGAACCAGAGCCGGGAGACCTGGGGATGGACTGTCCAATCTCGGGGGCAGAAGTTGCTGAGGTAGTCAAACAACTACACAGCGGCGGAGCCCCGGGGGCGGATGAGGTTCGTCCTGGGTATCTCAAGGCTATGGATGTTGTAAGGCTGTCATGGTTGACACATCTCTGCAACATTGCGTGGTCATCGGGGGCAGTTCCTGTGGAGTGGCAGACCGGGGTGGTGGTCCCCATCTTTAAGAAGGGTGACCTGAGGGTGTGTTCCAACTATAGGGGGATCACACTCCTCAGCCTCCCTGGAAAGGTCTACTCCAAGGTACTGGAGAGGAGGGTTCGATCGATAGTTGAATCTCAGATTGAGGAGGAGCAATGTGGTTTTCGTCCTGGCCGTGGAACTGTGGACCAGCTCTATACCCTTGCAAGGGTGATGGAGGGGGCATGGGAGTTTGCCCATCCAATCCACATGTGCTTTGTGGATTTGGAGAAGGCTTATGACCGTGTCCCCAGGGGCACCCTGTGGGGGACGCTCCAGGAGTATGGGGTGGGTGGCTTTCTGTTAAGGGCCATTCAGTCCCTTTACCAGAGGAGAGTTGAGTTTGGTCTGCATAGCCGGTAGTAAGTCGGACCTGTTCCCAGTGAGGGTTGGACTCCGCCAGGGCTGCCCTTTGTCACAAACAAAAAAGTGATTTTCCTAACAAATCCATTTAAGCCCATGTTGCCAAAATGAGTACACCTCAATTATAATTAGTCTTAGGAGAAAAGCCACTCTTGAGAGTATAAAATTCAAATTAATAGGCATTCAACCACAGGATGATTCATTTAAGATGTGTCCATCAGACAGGTGACTATTAAAGAGCATTACTTAACAAAGAAAAGCCCTTCCCATTTCATGCTGTCAGCAGTGGCTCCACATGGAATAGAAATGTCACAAAATCTGAGAAAGGAAATCATTTCTTTACACAAAAAAGTGAGGGCTACAAGAAGATTAGCACAGCTTTACAAATCAGTTAAACTGCTGTAGCAAAAGTGATCCAGAAATTTAAGAAAGATGTAAGTGCAGCCATCTTACTGAGACGACCAAGCCATCCACAGAAGTTAACATCTGTGGTTAACAGAGTGTCTTCTGAAGAGAAGGGTTGAAGAAAATCACTATGCAAGTTCACTGCAGTTAGCTAAAGCAGTAGAAAGCCAAACTGGAGTGACCGTTTCCTGTGACACATATCGTCCACAAAGAAATCCTCTCCTGAAGTCTATGCACAAAAAGCACACCTAGGACTTGCTAGGGCCCATGCTGACAGAGAAGAAGACTACTAGGACTCTGTACTCTGGAGTGATGAGACAAAGATCACTGTTTTTGGAACTTTTTGTACGGTACCATAAGTTCATCACTGCTGATTGCTGCTCCAGACAGCCCGTTGCCCTCTGTTTCTTTGTGCTCTGAGCTTCAGAGGTATTTCCTTCAAAAGATTGATGGCATCAGGTCAGAGCCTCAACCTCTGGGGCGAATCCCTTTGGTACAACTATCAACTTTGCCTCCTCTCAAAAGATTTGATTCTATTAGTCTCCATTACTTGGAAAAGATGATAAAAACTGTGAACCCAGCAGGCTCTCCTGAAGAGTCACTGCCACCTAAATTGATGCGGGACCTTGTTCTTGTCCTTGTACCGGCCATCCTGAACATTGGGAACACCAGCCTTGTCACAGGTAAGTTTCCTATGGCTTTTAAAAGAACAGTTGTGCACCCACTTTTAAAGAAACCTTATCTGGATCATTCGGACTGTATTGCACAACATCTAAGGTGCCGTTTTTGTCCAAGGTCTTGGAGAAGATTGTACACTCATAGATAGTGGCTCACATGGAGTTAAATTCACTGTTCGATATATTACAACCTGCCTTCAGACCCCACCATAGCACTGAATCAGTGTTGATTCATGTATTAAATGATGTCCTGGTTGCGTCTGACTGTTGGACCTGTTGGCAACGTTTGACACTGACCACAGAATACTGCTGAATTGCCTAAAGTCACGAGTTCGTCTTTCGGACTCTGTGCTGGATTGGCTTAGCTCATACATAGAGAATAGTTATTTTAGTGTGCAGCTTAGGGGTTGTGCCTCACCTTTCCTGCCTGTGAAATGGGGAGTGCTACAGAGCTCTGTCCTGAGCCCCCTTTATTTCCCATCTATTTTTTACCTTTGGGTCCAATTTTTTAACTTCACGGCATCAGCTACCACACTTATGCTGATGATTGTCAGCTTTATCTGGCCATGAAAGAACAGGATGCAGGCGCTTTAGTTTTAAAGTGTCTTCCTGTGGTAAAAGAGTGGTTGGCTGCAAACTCCTTGAGCCTAAATGCTGCAAAGTCGGAGTCAATACTTTCTGACCCAAAAAACAAATCATCCACTTTTGTTTTCTGTGTAATGAACTCCAGAAGTGTGTTACTAGCCTTGGTGTAAAACTAGATGCAGGATTTTCAATGGTACAGTAGATCAACACAGTTGTTAAATCATGTTTCTTCCAACTGTGCCGCTTCATACGCCTCAAACCAGTACTGAAACGTCCCCATCTGGAGTCTGTGATACGTTCTTTTATAGCTTCTCGCCTGGATAACTCTCTACTCATTGGTGCTCCTGTTTCGGTGTTGAACTGGCTTTAGACTGTGCAAATTGCTTCAGCTAGGTTTCTAACCAACACAAATAGAAGCTGTCACATTACACCAGTTTTGGCACATTTACACTGTCTGACTGTGTTTTAAGATCTTACTATTTGTCTACCAGTCAAAGCGTTAAATGGCCTAGCACCCCTGTATCTGTCAGAGCTGCTTACACCATTTGTGCTGGTGCATTCCCTAGGATCAGCTGACCGCTTACTGCTCTGCACCCCCAAAATTATCTATAAGGCGAGAGGGGAGCAGGCTTTTGTGTATGTTGCTCATCACCTTTGGAAAACACTCCCTCTCACCATACTGGTTTGCGCGCATGACTCCCACCCGGGAGCCTGGGGATCGAATCCTGCCCGGGCCCTCGTTTCTCCACCTTGCCAATTGCATTGAGGTCAAAGTTCTTGTATTTACACTCAAGTACCTAGCAGGGACTGTGCCACCTTATCCATTATCACTACTGCAGAAACACGCCCCCTCAAGATCACTGCGCACCGCTGCCACCAACCTGAATGAATTAATGTGGCACTTTTACTTTTTATTTGAATGTTTGTTGTTTTTACACTGCTGTGTTCAGCGCTTTGGGCTGCCTTGATTGGCAGCAGGAAGGCACTCTATAAACAAACAAATAAATAAATGAACTCAACAATGTACTGCTCTGTACTGAAGAAGATGCTGCCATCACTCCGTGACTGAACTTGGTCGTCATGCCCTTTTCCAACACGACAATGATCCAAAACACACATCTAAAGCTACTGTTGCACCTCTGAGGAAGAACAGTGTGAAGGTGACTGAATGACCAAGTATGTCTCCTGAGCTGAGCCCAATCAAACACCGGCGGGGAATTCTAAAGCAGCAAGCTGAGCATCACTCTCCATCCAGCATCCAAGCTCTTGAAGAGGTTATTTTTGAAGAATGGAAAAAGATGGAAGTTGCTATGTCACCAACTTGTACATTCCATTCCAAGAAAATCTTGAAAATCATATAGTGGTCATACAAAATACTAGATGTAATCGTTTTTGTTGCGGGGTGTATTCATTTTTGCTTCGACCAACTGAAGAAAACTGAAGATTTTGTGATGTAAATTAGATTATTAATCTTAATTTCATGTTATGGAGTTAAACAAGTGTTCAATAAAACCCAGCCTTGTGAAAATTCTGGAAATTATTCTTTTGGTCATTGATTAAATTCATACTTTTTCTAGGGGTGTACTCATTTATGCCAAGTACTGTAGGCCCACTGACTGATTACAACATTGTTGACACATGTGATGCCAATTAGTGGACACACCTTGAATTAACATGTACCTTTGGTCACATTATTTTCTGTTTTTCTAGGGGGTACCATCGTTTTTGTCCAGGCCTGTTCCGTGAGGTTTTTTTTAACAATTCCACTGAAACATGGTTGAAAAGCGGTGTCGGTCATTGGTTAAATTCCATAGAATTTTTATTAATTACTTTTGTCAGATTTAAGTTATTACTGTGACCATTGTGGGTTTTTCTTTCACTGACTGAATGGTACCAACACCGTTGCCCACATCTGCAAATCATCTTCAGTTACTGAACTCAAGCTGGCTTTGTTGTACGTTTTGTTTCTAGATCAAGAAGAACCAATTAAAGGAGGAAATGGAGAAAAAACTCGGTCTTTAATTTGTTAAATCGTACTGGACACTGAGCAACATGATCAGGAAAATGAAGATTATAATAGGACAGAACTATTTCAATAAATTCATTTATTTTGTGCATCAAAAGTCTCCAAAGTAATCTTATTTTCCTAGGAAAGATTTTTGTTTAGTGACAACTGTAATTGTTTTTCTAAAAGCATTTCAGAGGCAACAAGGTAAAATAAGCCTTAAGTATAAACACTATGATGCTGGAAACTCGGTCCTGGTCCTATACATGAACATATTAAGAGCAACAATCATAAGTGTTGATTAGAGCCACAAGATATCATAGAAAATTAGGCAGATCTATCTAAAGCAGATTATATATTATTTTAATAATAATAATTTATTATTTATTATTATCTAATTATATTAGGACAAACACACACGTTTATTAATCTCAATCTTTATTTACTTTAACAATTCTGACAAACATCATTAAACCACTGTAGGATAGTAAAATCTGAACACATGCCATACAGAATCTGAAATAAATAAGACTTTGAGGCCAAATGTGAGCAAAGTCAGCCATCTTTATAAACTCTACTGTACAAACTGGCTGAAGAACTCCCTCCAGTAGCAGGCTCCTAGTGCACCCAAAGTCAGATCTCATTAATCCTAATTACAAATACTAATGTCTGATCTACACTCTGAGCTGTGAAAATGGCAACAGCAAGGAATTAAAAGGACGAAGGGGGTAATGTTTGCAGACGGCTTGTTAGTAAACAATGTAAACTTAAAGATGATAGATCGCAGCTGCCAACAAGAAATCCTTCCAAATAAACATTAAAGTAAGTCACTGCCAATGTACTGCACCCAAAATAAACTTCTGCAATGAACCAAATTTGGATTTACAAAAAAATGTTTCATCTGTTCTATTCTGCTTTGAAGATTATAGGCAGAAATGTGGGAATCGTACTCACACCCTCAAGTTATATCTATGAGTTCATGCAAGAAGCTAGCAGTAAAAAAAAACTAAATAAATAAATAAGGAAAAAGAGGCAAAGCTGTTGTCTGTAAAATGTCAGTGGAGGTCCTCGGCTGCAGCTAAACTCAAAGAGCAGCTTGTTCAAGAGCAGAGGGGAAAACCAGCTGACATTTCCAGGGATAGCAACAGGAACAACATCACAAAAACGCCATGGCTTCAAACGATCAACATTCACTTGGATCATTCTTATCAGAACAAAGTCCACTCATACTCCTCCAATCACACGTGCAGCGAAAAGCAAAGAGAAACGATGCATTTCAAAGCACACTGCAAGATAAACTAGTAGATATGAACATGTCCCTTTATAAATATATACAATCCAACTGGAAATGAGTCCAACTATGCAATTTAGTAGGAAACACAAGAAGAACACGAGGTTAAAACAAAGCTGTGGTCTGCTCAGGACCTTTTGTCAAAAATGGTGTTCTGATGATTTGTGGAGACACCACATTAGCTTCGTCAGCATCAGAGCGGACTTACAGGGAGCGTTGCATCAGTCATACAAGCACAGAGCCGTCCAGCTTTAGGCACATGCAGATATGTGGTAGGAACATATGCACCTACACACACATGCATGGAGATCTGCAACCTGGAGGCAAGTCCTGTCACCCACAAAACATGCATCCTCTCAGACAGATGAACACTCATCAACACACAAACACACACAATAACACAAGTGACCTCTCCTTTGCCGCGCTGTCTTGGCTGGACAGATGTTTGTGTGGCCTGTGGATTCCTCACACACTTAAAGGCAGCATGCCTGGATGAGCCAGGGCTCTGGATGAGGACATGGAGGTCAGGGAGCTGGGGTCAAGTCCATTAATGGTGCTGAAGATAAAACATGGATATGCATTATTGACCCGAATACACATATACAGTAGTAATGCACGGTATAGGGAGTCTATCACTTCCGCATCATGGGTCCCCGGAAGAAGGATAAAATGAATGCAAGTCAACGGTAGCCTAGTGAACTAGACCAAATTCTTGCTTTGCAACGTTTGGTCTAGGCACGCTCCATTGGAACCTCAGCAGCTCCTACCAGGACTCTGGCTAGCCAATCACAGCTCTCTAGAGGGGTTTCAAACACATAAAGAGCTGTGATTGGTCCATAATGGTGGGCCAATCATAGTGCTCTATCTGCTTAGTGAACAAATCACAGAGCTTTATCTGCTTTGTGGGCCAATCAGGGCCCTCTACATGCCTGGTGGGTGGGATGATGCAACAGAGTGAAACAAGAGGATGTCACATTCATTGTCCAGTAGGATGTGGAGATCATTTGAAAGACAACAGTAGAACCCGCCCCACAACCGAGAGCCGTCAATGGAGCATGGCCAGACTAAATAATACATTTATTTAGTCTGGCCTGCCAGGCTAAGTCAACGGGGCTAAAAATGCTAGTTTCTAACCCACTTAGCCTTACGCCCTGGATCGCACACGTGTTAAATGAAAACTAATAATGGGTGTTTCGACCACGCCAGTCATGCACTTTGAGATTTATCAGCTTGTTAAAGCTCGTAATAAACACGACTACACACAAGAAATCGACACGTCCGTCACCACATAATCTGCTCCCCCCTAGCATAGCTGCTACTTACCAAATGGCCAGATTTATGGTGGTTCTTTCCTCCTGAAGGAAAGATTTGAAGTTTGCTGAACTTACAGCCATTTTCCCCTGGTGTTCTCCGTGTCTGGTTCGATGACGTCACTTTTGTGATGTGCATTTGTAGTTCTGGACTTATTTTCACACAAAACCTAAAATAACATTTCCCTTGTTCGAAAATAAGCACGTTCTTGGTATCAAAATGTGTCTTTAAAATTCACGGACATCATGTGTGAAATCCATGGCACAAAACAAGCGGAGTTAGACTATAGCGTTTTTAGTCCCGTTGACTTGCATTCATTTCTTCGTTCTTCCGGGGACCCGTGGTGCGGCTCCCTATAACCAGTATGCAGTTGATGTGACATAGATTCGGTCATCAGTGGAGGTTTTGACTCTACCGTACGACCACAAGTGTGCAGGAATGTTGTAAAGCTGCATCAGCTCTGGACGAACACAGCAGCGGCATGGATGAAGACATGCTTGTGAAGGAGGTGGGGATGGGTACCTTTCACATTTATATGGATACTGGTACTTAACTATACCACTTTTCAAAACTTTTGAATGAATGAATTAAATCTCTTTTGATTAAATACATTTTTCTCTAAATATAAAATCATATTTGACAAATATGATAAATAACATACAACTGTTTGTATTTTATCATCGTAGTGTTGTAAAAAACTCTTCAACATGAAGATGTGTATCCACAACTCTTTCTTAATGATACACAAGCTAAAACCCAGCTCCATGTACTCCTTTTCTTCGTCTCTGCTCTCTGGAGAAACTATGACGAGGAGATCACGTATTATAAACTACGAATTAAACCAAAAACTTGATAACATACAACTGTTTGTATTTTAATATTGTGGTGTTTCACAAACAAAACCCCACTCCATGTACTTTTCCCCTCTGGACAAACTGTGATGGTGGGTCCTTGTAATTTTATAAACTGCAAATTACACTGACGCAAACATCTTTGCTGTGAACTTAATTGACTGTGCATCTTTACTCCTTTTGCTGTTCTTTTTCAAACAGTTGAGTTTTCCTTCTCAGGTGTCGGAATTTCCAAGTACCGAGGGGGAAGTGAATGCACCATTAGCTGATAGCAAAGGAAGCTAAAGTACCATGCTAACGTTATCTTATAGGGCTGAACGATTTTAGCAAAAGATTGCAGTTTCTGATAGAAAAATCACAATTCAATTTCAGTTCAATTCACGAACTGCATCTAGAAATTCTGTCCATAAAAGTGATGAACAGAACCGGTGACAAAGGGCAGCCCTGGCGGAGTCCAACCCTCACTGGGAACAGGTCCGACTTACTACCGGCTATGCGGACCAAACTCACGCTCCTCTGGTAAAGGGACTGAATGGCCCTTAACAGAAAGCCACCCACCCCATACTCCTGGAGCGTCCCCCACAGGGTGCCCCTGGGAACACGGTCATAAGCCTTCTCCAAATCCACAAAGCACATGTGGATTGGTTGGGCAAACTCCCATGCCCCCTCCATCACCCTTGCAAGGGTATAGAGCTGGTCCACAGTTCCACGGCCAGGACCAAAACCACATTGCTCCTCCTCAATCTGAGATTCAACTATCGATCGGACCCTCCTCTCCAGTACCTTGGAGTAGACCTTTCCAGGGAGGCTGAGGAGTGTGATCCCCCTATAGTTGGAACACACCCTCAGGTCACCCTTCTTAAAGATGGGGACCACCACCCCGGTCTGCCACTCCCTAGGAACTGCCCCCGATGACCACGCAATGTTGTAGAGACGTGTCAACCATGACAGCCCTACAACATCCATAGCCTTGAGATACCCAGGACGAACCTCATCCGCCCCCGGGGCTCCGCCGCTGTGTAGTTGTTTGACTACCTCAGCAACTTCTGCCCCCGAGATCGGACAGTCCATCCCCAGGCCTCCCAGCTCTGGTTCCTCCTCGGAATGCGCATTGGTGGGTATCTAGAGAGGTGCTTTATAAAAACATCTTGTTCTACTCCAAAAATGCAAGAAGAAAATTTGAAGGTAGAAACAGCTTTCAAATGTATTAAATAACAAAAACTATACACAGCTTTCCCTGCATTACCAAGGCAGGCTAGCTGCACGTTTTTGGAAGCCGTGTGATAGTTTATCCTCACTAAAACGCCGCTATAAAGCCTGATCAGTAATAACGTTACACAACAGATCCCAGATTAGTCAAAACCGCTAAAAAAACCGCAGCTTTGACGGTCACGTGATCGTGCGGTTTGAAATCACAATTTCGGTCAAACGATAGATCGTCCAGCCCTATTATCTTAAACGGGTTATTTACCTGCTGGAGCAGATTAGGACGACGATAGCTCACTTAGAATGTTTTATGTTTGTTTATTTATTTAGCAGACGCTTTTATCCAAAGCGACTTACAATTTATAACCTATAGGTAGGGCTGTAGCGAAGCCTCGACGAAGTCGACGGCTCGATTCTAAAAATTTGTCGACGTCAGATCCGGAAGTCGACGCACCGCGCCCACTTGTTGCATCCCCAGGAGTTTGTAAATAGAGGAGGAATCTGCCCGTTTTTCCTCTAGTTCGCCCTCTTCTCCGCCTTCACTAACATCTCCGCCAAATACCGAAGACCCGGAACAACGTCCGTCCACTACTAGATTATTTTCCTGTTTTGCCCCTTCGTCTCCCGGCAACGGACAACAACTTCCGGGGTCAAATGCGCTGCTTCGTCTCTACCGCAGATGTAGAAAATCACCGGGAGCGCTTCTCCCTTCATTAAGGAGCTTCTTTCAGACATGAGGAGAGCTGTTTTGGTGGTAGCAGTCTCTCCTCCATGCTGGTCTGTTTGCTGCCGGGTGTTTTTGGTTTATTTAAACTTGGTAACTTGAACTTAATGTTGGTAAAGCTACTGTTAGCATCTTCGCTAACAGCTTCTTGCGTTGGGATAAGCTGTTACATTTTGGTTTAGAGTTCATCTTTTTTGTGGTGTAGATCTCCCTTTCATTACATTTAGAGTGTTGTGGGTTTTCGGTTTAGTGTAAAATATCACCTGAGTTTGGTTTAACCCGTAACACCACTCGCCTCACGCACATAAGTGACCAAAACAAAGCAGCATGGAGACACTCCATCTTCTACCACCTCTCAAGCAGCAGCCTGCACTCCCAAGTTCTACACGTCACCAGAACATAACCAACCAACACAATAAAAGCAGTGTTATACAAAATGGAAGGCCTGTAGTGTTTATTCTCTTACAGTAAGAATTTATCAATTTTTTTGAGGAATTTATTTGAGATTTTCTGGTTTTTGTTAATTGTGCAATAGAAAAATAATCATTAGATTAATTTTCTAAATAGTCATTAGAATAGTCGACTATTCGATAAAATAATCGTCAGAATAATCGTTTTATAAATAATCGTTTACCCCCAGCCCTACCTATAGGGCATGTTGTGATCTGTGGGGGAAACCGGAGTACCCGGAGGAAACCCACGCATGCGTGGGGAGAACACGCAACTCCACGCAGGAAGGCCGCAGCAGAGTTTCGAACCTGCAACCTTCGTGATGCAAGGCAACAGTGCTAACCACTGCGCCACCATGCAGCCCAGAATGTTATTATCCCCCACGCAGCCATCACATTTAGTGAGGTGGACCCTTACTTTAGAGCTGCTGCTTGCTGCTAGAGACAGAAAACATCACGCTCTAGCAAATGCACTGCTGTCCATCTTGGGAATTCAGGTACAGAACTCTGTGGTACCGAAACAAGGCACAGTTTCAGATCACGTGAATTGGTCCTTGGTAGGTACCACTGAATAAAAAGTACCGATTACGGTACCCATTTGTTCTGCTGCTATTCGTCTGGTGTGTGAGAATTTTGATACGTATAAACAGAAGAAAATAATATATTGTGATATATACTTTTACAGCTTGTGCTTCAAAATCTATCACGGTATAGAATTTAGGCCATCTCACCCATTGCCATTATACAGTGTCTTTAATGAATAGCTGTTAGCAGACGTACGTTTTGTCCAAGTAAGTGTTGTGTAGAGAGTGCGAGAACTTGGTGGTGTTGCTGTTGATGAGTGTGCCCTTGTCTGTGGAGAAATGTTTCCTTGACGACTGGTCTTTGGCCAAATTCCTACAAGCAGCCAGTTTGGACTCCAAAGCCTAGAAACAAAAACAGGAAACAAAGTCCTGAATGAACACTGGCAGAAACATTTCTCCTGCACTCAAACATTCTGTGCGGCACTGCTGCACACCTACCCCAACTTTCCTCAGAAGGTCTCCAACTATATTCAGAGCAGAGATTCTTGCAGAGTGAGTGAGGGCAGATCCACCACAGCCATTGGTCAATACTGCAGTAAACGAGTCATAATTAGAACGTTTACACTTTCTCCATCTACGTATGAATAAAGTGGGGTTTATCTTTACCTTTGGGGCTGATGAACGAGTGCTCCATGCTCTTTCCTACAGGTGTTGCAGGGAGGGACAAGGAGGCCTGGACAGCAAAATCCATTTTGTCGATGTCTAAAGTGGGTGAGCTGGGAGCCGACATCCTGTCACTGGTCCGCTCCCGCACTGCCAGCTCCTGTCTCAGGTCTGCAGAAGACAGAGTAACTCAGGCTCTACCCAACCATCCTGTATGCGATAACAAGACCTAGAAGGGTTTTCTCTTTAACCTCGTGCTTCATCCTTCAGCCGCTGCACAGACACCAGGAGAGACTCTTTCTCATCCAGTTCACTCTCAAGGAAGGCATTTCTTTCAATGGCCTGGTTTAAACGACTCTCAAAGTCTTCAAGAGACACTATTGTCGCCCTATAAATACGGAATAACAACATTTTTATACAAAGCAAGTGAGCTGGTTTCATTTCCTGAAGTTGTAAACAACGTCGTTCTGACCTCTTGGCTCTTTCCAAGTCATCGTTGGCTTGTTCGAGTTCTCGAACATATTTGTGTAGCTGCTCCTTGATGCTGCGTGTCTGACCCAAGTCGTCCTCCAACACAGAAATCTGTTTGTAACTCTGAGCATATTGATGCTCCAGCTTCTCCTGTTAGAGAGGAGGAGAAATGAGGCGGGGTGTTAGGCAGTGAGTAACGGCCTTTTCCTGGTAGACATTCTGGAAAATTCTCAAACAATTTCATCCGCTCTTCTTCAGCAGTCTTTTCAAACTCACAACCGCTGCCGCTGCTGAGGCCCCGGGGGTTGGGCTGGGGGGGGGGCAACAAGGCAATGAAGCGCTGTGATAGCAGGGAGTCCCTCGCGGTAATACGAGGAGAAAATAAACATTCCTCTCTACAATAAAATAAATCTATTGTATTTTTTCAGCCTTATATTTTATAGAAGGCTTATATATTGCCACATACTAGTCATTTAACGTATCTTAGTTTTTATTTTCCCAATATTTTCAGCTTTGGAAAGGATCCAAAACACAAAAGTGTAAAACTCAAAAGTATTTTAATGCCAAAAATCAGGTGACAGAAATAAAACCAGGTAGACGCGATGCTGAAACCAGCAGAGTATGACTGAAACTGAAGCGTATGCACCGAGGAACGAGAGATGACAGAGGACTAGTTATGAGGAGGAGCTGTGAGTGGGAGCAGAGGACAGCAGGGGAACATGGGAGGAACTATAAATGAAAATATTTTAAAAGAAGAAAGAATCCTAAAAGGGAAAGAAGAAGAACTAGAAAAAACCTGGCAACAAAAGAGTAGAAAATTCAGTGGAAGGAAAAAAATAAGACTTGAATACTAAATGAGAAAACCTGAACTGCTTAAGAAAAATTTTATTTTTTATTTCTTTTTTTTTGTGAGGGAGATTTATCAGCCATTATATCGGCTATCGGCCTTTGTTAAAAGTTTTATATCGGTTATGGCCCCAAAAAAAGCATATCGGTCGGGCCCTACTAGAGACCTTTGATTACGCACAAGCTGCAGGTGACCAGTTCAGGTTCACGCGGAGCAGGAGGAATGTGTGTTCGGGCCGCAGCAGGTGAAGTGTTCCTATTTTAAATGAGATGGTTTCATAACGGCTGCGCAGTGGTGCAGTGGTTAGAGCTGTTGCCTTGCAGCAAGCAGGTCCTGGGTTTGCTTCCCAGCCTGGGATCTTTCTGCATGGAGTTTGCATGTTCTCCCTGTGCATGCGTGGGTTCTCTCCGGGTACTCCGGCTTCCTCCCACAGTCCAAAAACATGACTGTTAGGTTGACTGGTCTGTCTAAATTGTCCTTAGGTGTGTGTGTGCATGATTGTTTGTCCTGTGTGTGTCTCTGTGTTGCCCTGCGATGGACTGGCTCTCTGTCCAGGGTGTACCCCACCTGATTGCCCATTGACCACTGGAGATAGGCACCAGCGCCAGCGCCATCGCCTGCACGGCACCATCATTCAGGGTTTCTCTAGCTTCTTAGCAGTATTGATCTTTATTATTATGTGCCACAGTAGCTCAGGAGGTAGAGCGGGTTGTCTAGTAACCAGAAGGTTGCAGGTTTGATCCTGGCTCCAACCAGAGAATTCTACTGTTGTGTCCTTGAGCAAGACACTTAACCCGCCATGCCTGCTGGTGGCGGTCAGAGGGACCGGTGGCGCCTGTGCTCGGCAGCCTCGCCTCTGTCAGTGCGCCCCAGGGCAGCTGTGGCTACATCGTAGCTCATCCCCACCCGCGTGTGAATGGGTGGATGACTGATTGTGTTGTGAAGCGCCTTGGGGGGCTGTAGAACCCTAAAAAGATGCTATGCAAATACAAATATAGGCCATTAACAAGTTGAGTGACTAACCTAAACATACTGAGGTAAAGTTTATCAGGAACCGCGTTCATGTCTGTTGGGGTTAAAGCTGGTCTCCTCCCCATTTTCTCCCACTTTCTCCCCTCATCTAGTTAAAGACTGCAGCAGGATGAACTCGAAGCGTGTCTCACCTCTCTTGTACAAAATAATGACCTCGTAAGGGAGTGCTAATAACTTTCACCACCAAGATAATTCTGTGGATGTTAATGAGGCAGCGTTTACCTTGAAGTTGGACACCTCGTTCTTCAGTTTCTCGTTTTCATTTTGTAAATCTCGAAGTCGACGTTCAGCCTGGCTAAGCTGTGCCTCTAATTCAGCCTCCAGCTCCCGGCTCCCCTCTTGGAACTCCAGGAGTTCCTCTTGAGCATCTTGCCAACTGTAGTGCAGAAAATGTGATCATATTCAATTGTTAGCCTTCCTACGCCTAACCTAACAGGCAGTTTTGTTAGAATTACTTCCAACAGGCTTTTGTCCTGCAAGGTTAGCAAAACTTAGGAAGAATAACAATCCTTTATAAAACCTTTCATCCCGACTCAAAGAGGTTCCAGGATTCACCTCAGCATATCTGAGCTTATTCATCTGCTATGGCCACCAGCCTGGCCTCTTCAGATGCAGGAGCAAGGAGCACCCAGCTAGACACATCCCCTCCTCCTCCTCCTCCAGGTTGCTGAGGAGCACAGCTGACCTGAATCCCTCTGACGACACACACGTGGGATAAAAAGGCTGTTCCTTCAGCAGTCTGGGAGGCAGCAGTGCAGGGGTTCTGCTGCCTCCCGGCCTCAGACTTTGGTTTCAACCCTTTCGTTTCGATGAGTTTAACAGAAATGTTAAAGCTCTTAGATGATCCAGAGGATCTTTTGATAATGTTGTTTTAAAAGTTAACTTGGTTTGATGCAATTTTATTGACTTTGGTTTTAAAACACCTACTGTTTCGGTACCAGGTGTTTCAATGTTGGTAATTCGTCCTTTAATGTTAACCTTTTAGTCTTGGTTTTTTTTTTTGGCATCATTTTAATAATGCTTACCATCTGTTCGCACTCGTTTTAAAACCTTTTATGGCAATTAAACCCATTTAAAATCCCCTGTCATGTTTCTTATGTTACCCCCTCCTTCACATTTTAACACCTCCTGTCAGGGACGTAACATCATCTAAACATAGCGTTGTGGGGAGACAGCCGAGCTGCAGGAGGACATGCTTCAGAGGGAAGTTATGGACGTGAATCTTAGGCGTTACAATCAGGAGAAACGAGAAGAACCAGGATGACTCTGTCCAGAGCTGAACTCATCTATACAAATTTAGAGGCCGACCGATATCGGGACTATATATTCAGTTTTTTTCTATATGATGCATCAGTCGAAATTATTTTTGAATGCTGGTTAAAAAATATATCAGGCACCTGCGTGGCCAACTGCCACCAGTACTAGACTGAAGAAAGGACCCGAAGTTGGCAGAAGACGATTGAAATCTCTCAGCCAATCAGAGAGCAGCGAAGGAGGAGGGGGCTTAACGACATTCAAACATCTAGAGGTAATTTACAGCCCCTGGTAAATTCAGTCCAACTGAGACCTCTGCTGAATTTTTCATTGGGAAGAAGCTTTCTGCCTGTACGTACCCAATGAAAGAATTCCCCCTAAACCACCAGGTCTTGAACCCATTTTGTCTGGTTTAGCACTTTTCTGAATGTCTAACAGACCTCAGCTGTACAGGAGGAATGTGAAAAGGTCTGCGCAGCACTGCTGCCTTCCACTGCGGCTGTGGTTTCTGCTAAAGAAGTCAAAGCTATCGTCAGTCCTCATGAGTCAGTCAGCAGATTTGTGGTCTCTTTTTTTATAAACCCTGTTGGCCAAATTCACTTTTACAGACTAAACTCAGACATGGACACTTTTGGTTGAAATGCTGCTAGATAAAAGTTGATGACGCATGATTACATAACCTCATCTACAAAAACAAGCTTAATAATCAACAATATAAAAGGCTTACAACAGAACATCAGGCCCAAAGTCACATGTACATTATGTTGTCTGACTGAAACCAGATGCTAAACACGACCAGCCCGGTGGTATGAGTGTCCACCCTGACACTGGGTGATCATGGGTCAAATCGGGTCATACCAAAGACAGGGGTTCCCCCAGGCTGCACCATGAGAGCAGGGAGGGTGTAGCAGCACCTTTCCTTGTCTGTGGTGGTGGTTGGAGGGGGGTGCTGCGCACGGATCGTTCCGCTACGGTTTCTCTTCAGTATCAGCAGAGGGGTGGCCTGCGCGTCGTTTTGCTGCCGCGTGTTGTCCGTGTCAGCGGAGAAGGTAGGGCTGGGGGTGTGTAAACAGGCTTATAAAGCGCTGGGGCAAACCCTGCAACAATTTTAAGAACATGACCCAACGCCTCCCTGCTTGACACTCAGCATTAGGGTTGGGGGTTAAACCACCAAATGGTTCCTGAGCGTGGCCACTGCTGCAGCTCACTGCTCCTCCAGGAGATGGGTCAAACGAGGAGAACACATATCATACACCAGTGTAACAACTAGTGGGCCTTTAACTAACTTTAACATGAACATCTGCTGAACAAACAAACCCAGAGTTGTCTCTTTTGGAACACAATGCCTACCTCTTCTTGTGTTTAAGAGCTTGAGACTTCCAGTATTCCACCTCCTCGTCCTTTGATGAAAATTTAGGAATCATCTCTGTGTCCATGTCAGAGCACCCTGGGAGAAAGAGAGGGACAACATTAAAGTTTTTGCTAGCGTGACTAGTAGGTGACTCAGGCGTGGCACAACATTAGTCCTTTGGCATGTGGAAGCAGGCACAGTGCATTCCCTTCTTATCTCAAAGTTGGGTGACCAATCAGGTTTGAACATTCAGCTCATTCCTTACTGGAGACAAAAAGATCTGAGCACAGACGTAGGAAAAAACCAGAGAATCTAACTTCATTCCATCCCTGGCAACTCCGATCAGGGAATCACTTCCTTTTACCAAAACTAATTCAGGTACTTCTCTGAAGACAGAATAAAAACCGATGCTTGTACAACCAGAACACCGTCTGTTTAGAGGGGCTAGGGCTGGACAGATCCAAACCGTACCACAAACCAGGAATGTTTTAGCAAACCATGAAGAAAATCCACTTCTGCGTGCAGTCGCCACCTCTAAACCCTTGTTTCCCATCATTTCCCTTCAATAATAAAATGCTTGCTGCATATTTTTATACTGGCGCTCACGAAGAAGTCTGAGAACAAAACATCTCTGTCCATGTGTGTGCATCTCTTCATCGCGGGGCTGATGGAGTGGGATCAACTCAGTCCGTACTTGCATGAATGTTGGAGCGCAATGAGGGAAAATAGCGTTGCGCGTCTCCATACCGATGTAGAAGCATCACTCTGTGTGTGTGTGTGTGTGTGTGTGTGTGTGTGTGTGTATGGTCAGCTTCAATTTGCAGTCATTTTGAAATTGGGGTCTCAAGCCAAACCCTTCTCTGCCTGGACATTTTATTGGGCCATCTGACAGTTTTCTTTCTCGCTAAAAATTTGATTTTTTGTTGTTATGTATATCTTAATGTTTATATGTTTTATTTGTTTTTATTTTGAATTAAATAAATGAATAAAAAAACACTGCTCTAACACCAAACTCGGACACATTTTACATGCTCGAGCTGACAGAAGTATGAATCAGCTTTTAGTGTTATTAGGGGGAACCTCGTTCCACTGCTGGAATCTTCCTCACTCATTTGCCTCGTTGTCAAACTTGCTGCAGAAACAGACATCCACAGCCATTATTGTAGTCTTTTGTAGAGTTACGTAGGGAACAATATAACGAGGAAAATAAGCTAAATGTACAGCTCTATCAGCTGAACAATTGAACTCAGCTTATCTAGTAGCAGGTGATGGTCAACAGTGTCAAAGGCTGCAGTCAGGTCCAGCAGAACCGGAACAGTCATCTGCATCACTGTGAGTCAGAAGGCCTAAGAAGAGCTGCTTCAGTAGAACGAGCTCTACGGAAACATCACTGGAAACTATCGTAGAAGTTATGTTCATCAAGAGCAGCTGGGAGTTCTTTAGCCACAAGCTTGTCCAAGATGTTTGAGACGAACGGTAGTTTAGAGACTGGATTGACGGAAATAAGGGTCAAGACTCTTTTAAGAAGTAGGTGGATTACATCTGGCACTGAGGGCATTAACTCAGAAAATCCCTATGCAGGTGTAATTATCAAACAAAAAAGTAAGAATTAATATTCAAACATTTAATTAATCAAAAGATCATTTTACTACAAAAAACTGGAGCTTTAAGAGGCAGTAACAAGCAGGGATGGGTACTGAATTTGGTACTTTTTAAGAGTAATGTCATCAGTCACTGTGGGCGAGCTGTAAACAGAGCAAGCAGCATGGCAAAGAGGAGGCGCTCAAAAGTTTGGGTCCATTTCACTAAATGAGTAACTGGTAGGGGTGTAACGGTACGCTAAAATCATATTCGGTTCGGTTCAGTGTTTTGAAGAGCTCAGTTCGATAAATTTGATAAATTATTATATTTATTCATTTAATATCTGAAGCGGCTAATATAGTGAGGAGAACCAGGTGTCATCACAGGCTGCTGATCTAGCATGATGTCTATTTAGTTCACAGGTTTTGTTTGCAGCTATGAGAGTAACGCTCATACAGACAAGTGTTGTGTTTGACTGTTGATGCTCCGTGTTTTTATTTCTGCAGCGAGCCGTAAAAAGTCACTCACACGCAGAGTTTCTTCTCCAAAACTTGTTTTAAAAAACGAGCTTCCTCCGCGCCGTATCTTTCGTTGTAGGATGAAAACTACATCAGTTGTCACAGGGGAAAGTTCAGCAGACGTGCTTGATTACATTTTTGCCACTGTGAGAGAAGGGAGGGAGGGGAGATGCTGCGTTCAGCATCTCTACAGGCTCCACAGTAGCAGCGACATCCAGCTGGTTTGATCCGCTCTGAAAGGCGTTGATCAGAATTACAAGACGGCGCCAGTGTTATCGGCTTGCCGTCTGCCAGTTCCTTTACTCTGTGTTTTTACTTACTTTAGTCTGTGTTTTGCATCATGCTCACTCTAGATTTATATACGATCGCCAGACCTTACTTAGGATAGGTTTTTCTGCTGGATTTTTACCATCTACAGCCGGGGAGCATAGGAACAACACTTCTCCTCCTTACCGGGATGGCTCGGCGGAGTGTTGGCGAGTCGCGTCATCACCGCTCCCTTCAAGGAGGAAACGCAGGAAGAGGGGCTGTCACGGAGGACGACTTGTCAAGTTGAAGGCCTGGAATTCTGCCTTGCTTGGTGGCTTCCGTGTGGTCAGGTGGTCATCCGCTCGATGTGTGGTGCCATGGAGGATACGGGATCCAGTGGGCTCATTTCTCGTTCCTGTTGGTGGCTGCTCCTGGAGGTTCGGTGATCGTCCCCCACCTTTTCATCGTTTTTCCCAGAGAGGAATCGACTTGCGGTATCTTCGACCAGTATCCAGAGCTCAATCTTCCGCTGGAGTCTCTGGGTTGTCATCTCTAAGGTGGGGCCTGGTCAATGCTAGGTCAGTGGCTATTAAGTTGTTCATTTTGAATGATTTTTTTTACCACTCATGGCCTGGAGGTCCTGTGCGTAACTGAATCATGGATTTTACCGGTTGAGTCCTCTGTTTTTAATGAACTGGTACCAACTGACTGTGTTTTTATCAATGTGCCGAGAGCTGCTATGGGTGGTGGTGGATTAGCAGCTATCTGCAAAGCTAATGTCAAGATCAAACACCTCCCGGCTTGGTCGCCTAATACCAGCTTTGAACTGTGTTTGTTTGAACTCGGTCACTCACAACCACTCCTCTGTGCAGTTGTTTATCGACCTCCAAAGTACAAGGATTTTTTGCCTGAGTTTTCTCAGTTTCTAGCTGACTGTGCATCTTCTTATGAACAGATTATGTTGCTTGGAGACTTTAATATTCATGTTTGCTGCCCTGCACTGGTTGCAGATTGTATTAATCTTGTAAATTCTTAGTTTTACCCAGTGGGTAAATGGGGCCACTCAGGTATGCGGTCACACTTTGGACCTTGTGTTGTCTCTTGGATACACGGTGTCCAACGTGTGTATTCAGGATGCTGACTTTTCAGACCACAAGCCTGTACTATTTGACATTACTGTGTGTGGTAGTGTTGTTAACTCTGCAGCTCCTATTAGACTTTCTCGTCCTGTGAACAGTGCTACAGGGCAGTTTTCCTTGTTATTTAGAAGGGCCGAGCCTTATATGGGTGACTGGTCACTTTTGGATGATCTGCTATTTTAATAAGACCTGTAAGGACATTATGGACCCTATTGCGCCTCTTCGCCCAAAAAAGGCAAATCATGCTGCTAATGCGTGGTCGACTGAATGCACCAGGGCTGCAAGAAGGGAATGCAGGAGGCGTGAAAGAAAGTGGAAAAATGATGAGCTGCAAGTATCTTTAATGGCCCTTGGAGAAGGTTGGAAATCTTATCAGGATCTTGTCAAATCCGCAAAGACTGCCTATTATTCCAACCTTGTGCATGCTAATGCCAACAAACCACGGGTTTTGTATGCAGCTATAAACTCTGTGCTGAATGTGGAAGATTACTCACCTATACAGGCCTCTGACTTTGTGTGTGTCAGTTTTCTTCAATTTTTTATCGACAAGGTGGCGATGCTGCGAGACGCCCTGCCTAAATCTAGTGTGTTAAGCTCCTCTATGTCTTTTGAGGAACGGCTGGTCTCTTTTTATCCAGTATCACTTGCGGAGCTCACCAGTCTGTTTAAAGAGGCTAAACCTAGTGGGTCACCAGAAGATATTTTACCCCCGCGTTTGCTTTAGGAAGTTTTTCAAACAGTTGCACCACTGATTTTGCATATAATCAATAACAGTTTGGCTTCTGGTTTTGTATCGACAGATTAAAAAAAGAAAAAAAAAAGTAATTCACCCACTTTTAAAAAAACCTGGGTTGGATGCTTTCTTACCAGTGAATTATAGGCCAATCTCCAAGCTCCCTTTTTTGGGTAAGATGACTCGTTTTGGCAGTCAACCTGTGGGGCCGGTAGATTCTTGGCGGGGCCGGTAGATTTTCAGAGCTACCGGCCCGGCTGGCCGGTTGGTTTTAAAGTTAATGTCTACCCCTGTTTAAGACGTTTGGCTGAAGTAAAGCTGTTTTTATCTAGACATGACCTTGAGACTGTTGTTCATGCTTTTATTACCTCACGACTCGACTATTGTAATTCCGTTTTATTTGGTGTAAGTAAGGGTACTGTAACCCGGCTGCAGCTTGTCCAGAATGCTGCAGCCAAAGGAAGCACGAACATGTGACACCAATTTTGGCTGCTCTCCACTGGTTGCCTGTTGATTTTAGAATTGGTTTTAAACTTCTTTTAATGGTGTTTAAGGCACTGAATGGTGTGGCTCCAACCTATTTGACGGAGTTGCTGCAGCCATATGTTCCGGCCCGGTCACTCCGCTCTGAGAACCAGCTGCTGCTTGTGGCTCCTAAGGCTAGGTTAAAGTTAAGAGGGGACAGGGCGTTCTCTGTTGCGGGTCCGAAACTGTGGAACGCACTGCCCCTAACTATTAGGGACTCTCCCATCAGTAGCAGTTTTTAAAATGAGGCTGAAAACCTACTTTTATGATCTCGCTTTTAATTCTGTGGGTTAGCAATTGTTAATGTTTTATATTTAGTAATTCTTATTTGTGGTTTTAATTATGTCTGTGGCGCTATATGTTTTATTGTTTTATTCTTTGGTTGTACAGCACCTTGGTGGCATGCTCATGCCTGTAAGGTGCTTTATAAATAAAGGCTGAGTTGAGATGAGAATTTGCAGATCTCATTTTTTAAACAGATCAGGCGCGTGCAGCCATCATGTGTCACTCGATACAGCGTTCATGCGGAAACCTGACTAGGAACTTCTATCCGTTGCACTTAAAACATGAAAAGAAAAATTCATTATTTAACAGAAAAAATAAACCGAAACGGTACACAAGTGGAACAAACCAAACAGGCCAAACCGACATGGTTCAACGCCACCCCATGAACCGTTATACCCCTAGTAACTGGTTGATGATGAAACCAGCAAGAACTATCAAAGTGAGGCTCCGGTAGGAAAATAAACGGTTTAAGATAACTGTTATACCTCACATCAAGCTAACGTTATCTGACAACGTTAGCCTGATGCGTCTGCTTCCGTTCAGCTAATGGGCGTTCCCTTTCTCCTCGGAAATTCCAATTTCTGAGTAAGAAAAATCAACGGTTTGAAAAAGAACGGCAAAAGGAATGAAGATACACAGTAAATTTAGTTTACAGCAAAGATGGTTTTTTTTTTCAGTTTAATTTGTAGACTCTAACACATCACACAGTTTGTCCAGATGGGAAAGGAGAGGATTAGGAGTACATGGAGCCAGGTTTTAGTTTTTGCAACAGAAATAGTTGTGGCTACAGGTTTTCATATTGAAGAACTTTGTACAACACTACGATTATTAAATACAAACAGTCGTATGTTATGTATCATGATATTTATTAAATATGGCTATATATTGGGGAAAAATGATTAAAAAGTAAATTAAAATAGTTATTAAACACTCAAGAATAAAAAATTGGTACCGTTAAGTATCGGTATCGATTTATAGGTACCGGGAATTGGTACTGTATCGATTCAAATGACAAAAAGGTACCCATCCCTAGTAACAAGATTTGAGAAAAAGAGGACATGTTGCTTTTCTTCTTCTGAAGAAAATAGCCTAAATTCAGCAGAACATGGAGGAGAGACGGCCTGCCCGTCCGTTTGAAATTCCTCTGAGATGGCGCCTCATCAACCGTTTGAGGGCTACACGACCCTTGCATGTTAGCTTCCTGAAGACCAGACAGCAGGAAGCTAGCTGGGGGCTTTCCAAGCTGCTCGCTGCCTGCATCAAATGACAGAAAGGAAGGAGCCTTCACAGCTCTCTAGGACAGCACCACACATATACAGATAAAACACATGGTTGTGAGCCGAAAGACTGGGGTGAGATCCAGGAGTGATGTAGTAAATTCAACAACCTAAACATGACCTCTCCCACCTAAAAATATAGAAATTAATTCCTGGCTTTGGGGTCACATGTTTACAGGCCAGACAGAGGCAGTGGCATCCTACCGAACAGCATTCTGAGTCTGAGACGCTCAGCCCTGTCACGCAAACAGGTCCGGGTCAGACACTTAACACCTCCTCCTGTAATATTTCATTAAGACGGAGATCACAGAAATCATTTCTTTATTCAACCATTATGACTCTTCCAGGTTTGTTTTAGGAATAACAATCAGCCATGCGGGATCATAGGATGTGGTGGCTCCCCTCAGACCTGGAGGCATATTCTGGTTCCTTGGGTTATTTGGAAAAACGCGATGCTTCCTGTGACAAAGCTAGATATCCAATATCAGCGTCACCAGGAGCGTTACTGTAAATCTGACTCCTCAAATGTACGTTGCTTAGGATAAACACGTATTTAACGGTTGTTTAACAAGCTAGTTGAAGCTAATGTCTGACCGAAGCTTCGGGTCAGACCCTGAGCTGTAGTATCTATAGTGGTTAAATAAGCCAGAATGTTCCACGTACGTGCTTACCGGTAGTGAATAGTGCATTATGTTAAAATTAAAACCAAAAACTCTCGATGTTTCTACCGTTCTGTTGTTTTTCTCTGTACTACTGAGGCTGAGCGGAGCAGCCACCAAACAGGGCAGATTAACCAGAAAACAGTGACACATTTCAACAACCAAATTCTTACCTGCTCATATCAAATCCGTGTCTCGTCCTCCGTCTCAACAATTTACCTCCCAGCCAGCGTCACGCGCAACAGAGAGAGCAGCTAGACTCCCCGGGCCGCGACCCTAAATGAGGTAACGGGATGTGTTAGGAAATTGCCAACGCGTCTCCCGGAAGCAACGTAACTCCTTTCCCAGACGTACGCGCTGACGTCATTCACGTAACGCAGAAACTGGGAACTGAAAGAAACCACATTCCTCTGCATCCATGTGGTCCAATCCGTTTGTGTGTGTGTGTGTGTGGGTGTTCTTTAGTTTGGTTAAGCGACAGTGGCACTAGTATTTGCTTGAGTCATTTATAACTATATTTTTACGGTTTTTATTCATTTATGTGAAATTATATGGTAATAATAATAATAATAATGTAAAATAATGTTAATAGTAATAATAAAAATAATAATACATTTTATTTAAAAGCGCCTTTCAGAACACCCAAGGTCACTTGACAGAAAACACTTAATAAAATACAAACAACAATAAAACCCAAACAAGAAAGAAAAAAAAAACAAAGAGAGAAACAGTTCAATAAAATCAGAGGACGTAGGCAGATTTAAACATGTGTGTTTTGAGTTTTGTTTTGAAAAGGGTAAAACTGTCGATGCTCCTGATGTCTGGGGGAAGTGATTTCCAGAGACGAGGAGCAGAGCGGCTGAAAGCTCTGCTCCGAGACGGGCAGAAGGAACCGCAAGATGGATGGAAGAAGAAGATCTGAGAGAACGGGATGGGGTGTGAATACTTATAAGGTCTGAGATACATGGAGGAGAGAGGTTGTGGATTGCTAAACATGTATGCTGATAATAACTTTTCTTTGAAACAGCTTCATGCTTATGAGAATTTATTTAGTTATCTAGTATTTTCAGTTGTGTTGTATATAAAGTATAGCGACAGAAATATGCTATTGATCAGCCAGTTAAAGGGTTAAAGAAAGCAAAAGGGACACTTTCCTGATGTGTTTAGAAAATGTCGTTTTTATTTTTAATAATTATTTAATTATTTATCCATTTTTTTATGGTTTTGTTTTTTAAAATGTTATTAAACCAGGAAATTTACTGACTTCAAATAAACCCTTTTCAAGATTGCTCCTGCCAATAGTATCATGGTCTGCGTCTGCGTCTCCCCTCATGTGTCTCCTTGTGTTCTCCATCCCTATAGGTTCTCTTTTGTGTCTCCCAGCGCCCTCATGTATCCTTGTTCTGCTTCTTCCTCATGTGTCCTGGTGTTCTCCATTTTTCCCCAGATCTTCAGCCCTCTAGGTTTCCCTCCTCAAGATATCCCCCTCCCAGTTCCTGTGCTTCCGTGGCCCCTTTAGTCATGCCCCTGTAGCTTTTCTTTCTGTAGTGTTTTTCCTTTAGTTTCAGCTCCCCCTTAGAATATTATGTTTTCTGCCCTTCTGGTCTTTAGGTTTTTCTCTTAGGTCATTTTCCTTTACAGCTGTTCATATTATTAGTCTCTCCAGTGTGTTTTTCCCATGGTGTTTGAGGTTTTTCTCCCCCCTGAGATTATTAAGTTATGTTTTTCTGCTCTTCTTGTCTTTAGGTTTTACTCTTAGGTCATGTTAGTTTTCCTCCCTGATTAGTAACTCAGTTCACCTGGTCTCTCTCCCCACACACCTGCAGGTCATCTCCCTCTCATCCTCCCCAGTGTGTAAAGCCCTGTCTGTGTCTCACTGTTTTGTCGGTTCATTGTTTGGTGTCAGCGTTGTTTTGTTCCTTGTCTCAAGGTTTTGTGCTCTAAGTGAGCTTTCGTCTCCAGGGTTTCAGGACATTGTTTTTTTTTTGCTTCCTGCCCTTTTGGATTTTTTTTTGTTCTACTTCCTAATAAAGGAATGTTTTCATTTACATCCACTCCTGCCTCATGTCGTTCTGGGAGTCTGCAGTTTGGGCCCAAACCTCCTCCGGACTCGCAATGTGACAAATAGCTCTAAATTATTTTATAGTTATTATTTTAAACACAAATACAAACATAAGCAACAGAAAACTAAACTATTTTTAGGTCAACTGTTGAAGCACATTCTGGATTCTCACAATGTGTGAAATGATGAATGATACACTGTAGTGTAAAGCGCTCTGGAGTCCTCTGACTCGGAAAGGTGCTATACAAGTGCGGGTCAATTTTTTGTCCGTATTTCTTATTGAAGCATGCCCTGAACTAAACTAGACAACAGTTTAACTAAATGAAGTGGATACAAATGTTGGATTCACACCATCACAATTTAAGCGTTATTATTAGTAGTAGTATTCACTGCAAATGTGGTTGGTTGCAGAGGGCGTTGCACACATAAGCCACAACTCTAGGGTGACATACCCACTTGAGCAGAACTTTATAAGTAGGCCTACTTGTTTAAAAAAGTTAAAATAAAATTCAGAATTATATTTTCCATGCTGAAAGATGAAAAATGTCCCTGATGTTCTCATAAAGACCCCGGCCGTTCAGTACAACGTGGCGAACAAACGTTTTTGAATATGTTTCTTGACCTCAAGGTGGCGTCCTATAACAAGCATATTAACATTTCATTTTGCACCATTTAAACGAAACTTTTTTCTATATCAGCATTTTATTTGACAGCCTGACATGTTTATTTAACACATCACAAATCAGACTCATGAACGTTTTGTAAACATTCTTTTCTGACTGAAAATAAAATATATAAATCGTTAAAATAAAAGTACAAATCATCTTCCACATATTGCAAAGGGCAGACATTTATGTGGAATCAAGCATGCCTTGTATTTGTTTTGTCGCTCTATGGAGCTCTGGGTGGAAGATGATGAAGGAGACCTGAAATGGATCCAGTCAGCAGCGCTGCAGGTGGCTGGCCCTGTTTTACTGGACTCTCCAGCCTCCACCCTGAGACACCGGCGGAGACTAGACAGAGTCAATGAGGAAAAGAGAGCTGACAGAACACCGGTTCGGAGTTTTTCTGCAGTGTAGCGTCAAATAAAATCTTCCCTTTATGGCACTCAGCAATGATGACAAGCAAGAGGACGCGGAGGAGTGCCCCGTGTGCTATGAGAGTCTGTCTGGCAGCGAGCGGACGCTGAGCTGCGGACATGTGTTCTGTCACGACTGCCTAGTGAAAACGCTGGTCAGCATTCACAGCAACGGGAACGTCAGGGACACGATTGTTTGCCCCATCTGCCGACATCTGACTTTCATCAAGAGACAGAAGGAAGCGTTGATCGCAGCAAACAAGAATCCAGATGAAGGACAGACCCTGGAGGTGCCTCTTCCTCTGAGACCAGGGCAGCCCCAGAGCGCACAGCGCTCCAGGAGCAGCTTCCAGAGAGGAGTAACCTGGATGGCCCACGGCTTTAGGAGCGTGTTTCAGCGGATCCGTGCTGTTAGGTTGATCAGCCCCAACCATAACGCATGTCAGATCTTCATCATTAGCGCGCAGGGGCGACCTATGGCTGAGGAAGACGCGCTGGATGTTGTGGTGACGGTGGTTCATCCTCAGCGCAGGAGGAGACGCAGGATTTGCACAACAGCGCGCTGCTTGCTCGTCTTGCTTTTGGCTTTTACTTTACTGGCACTAGTGGCTGCGACTTTACCCTGGATTTTATTGGCATGACCCGAGGACGTCCGGACTGGAGTGCCAAGTGGAAATATTTAGAAGACCTTTAAAGAAACTGTATTTATGCTCATCCTTGTTGAGATGGTTGTGAGTTTGGCAGGATAAGAAAACGTGCTTTGTTAATATGATGCGATGTTTGAGTCAGGTGTGGTTGTAATTGTTTCAGACTCATCTTTGGCCCACGTGCGGTCTCTAGCTATGACCACTGAAGCAAATGAAAATATCAGTTCTTCTTGGGATTAGGCTGTTCTGGTTTGTTGACCGAGGCTGCAAAACACAACTTTGTGGCAAAACTGGACTCAACACACACACATGTTTCAATATAGTTTTGAAAATTAAATTGACAAATTTGCATTAATGACGTTTGATTAAGAAGAAAAAATTAGTTTAAAATATGAATGAGATTAAAGGAGGAAACATTAAAGGAGAACTCAGCACTTCATCTAGTGAAGTTAAAACAATGTACAGAGAGAGGCTTTCAACTGTATCATAACTGATGCACCCGTGGCAGTCTAAAGGAGATGAACCACTATCTGGTTGCTGTAAGGAGACACTGCAAGGCTGATTAGATTACTTCAAGGTCACCTCAGTTGTTTAGATGTGCAGCTCTGACTGAACTTTAATGAAAAGGGAGACAGCGTTGGAAAAGGTGGGTCAACAATGAAAAGAGGTCACTTATGACTAAACTATTAAGGTGTGTAACAGATTTGCCTTGTGTGTCACCATATTCCTCTCACACACACAAAAACACACCTCGGATCTTGTGGTGATTCTTCAGGCATGCTGCTGGACCAGTTCCACAAGTCACACGCGTGAACTGACTTGTGCCTTTGAACAAAAACGGATTTCTGCACCTGCCAGGATGGCAGTGATTGATTTCCTCTCAGCTTGTTAGACTGACCAGTTTTTGAATTCTCGAGTTGGATGTTCAAGAACTTTCTCCAGGTTTGATGAAGAACGTTTATGATAAGAATGAAGCAGATGTTCCAGACTCACCTGCATTTTTATGTACAACCGAAGGAAAAACCATTTAGATTTTCTTTTTGCCGAATTTATAAAACAGAGTTTAAGAGTGTAAAAACATGTCATTCTGTTGAGAATTTACAGAATCATTGATTTCGGATAAATG